CACGTTCTTGAGTTATTTTTTTAATATGCATTTTTTTTTTTTGATAGTGGCATCTTGTAAATAATTCAAAAATAAATTAGAGTGGATAAATTGATAAAAAAAATTATCTGAATCTTTAAAATCAAGATTGATAACAAAATTTGTAATTTTAAAAAATTTGTAATTTTAAGAAATCCGTAATTTTAAGAAATTCGTGCTATGTTAAATTTTCAAATTTATCTCCTCCACCAATTTTTTGCCTACAGGTATAAAACTAGTATCGAACGAAAGCTTGAAACTTACACTTTTACTCTATGTTAGCCGATCTTCAAAGTTTTTATAATTATTTTTTTTCATTTTAGTTTAAAATTTTTTTTACACTTTTTATAAATTCTGTGATTAATAAAAATTATTTGTAAACAAAAAAAATCAAAATATCGCCACATACTTTTTTTATAAATATTATTTGGCACTCACATACAAAATTTTAATATAGGTTTATTTGGTAGTTACGAAGGAGCTAGGATTTGAATTTTGCTTATTTCTTTATATGAAATTCGTCAATTTAATAGGATCTGCAAAAAAATCTCTATATATTAATTTTTATATGGTACCACATATAGTTTTGATTTACATAGTATATCGACCACCCCAATAAAAGGTAGTCATAAATGTATACATATATATTATTATTATTTTTATTTATTACATATCAGAAAGTGCATACTAATAAAAAATGTTATTTATACATGGATGCTGTATAATTGACTAGAGTCATAAAAGGTAATTGTAAATGTATTATTTTTTTTTATTTTTTACATATGGGGCATGCTGCAACAAAACCAGACAAAGTGAACATTGGTATTACCAAAGATTTCAGGGATCAATAATGTTTGTTTAACATCACCAATGTAATGTAATCATGATATTTGTTTTTGCTTAGATTATCTCTAGAATATGAAATTTATTTACATCAAATCTACTGCGAGCGTGTAAATTCAAATACAGCTCAGGTTGTGTCCAATAAATATATAAGATAAAATAAATAAAAAAGTCCAATATATAAATCTCCCTGTATCCACACACAGCTCAGGGTTCTCAATACTCTATACCAGGCCTCTGTATCCGCACACAGCTCAGAGCCTACTCAAATCTCTC